CACAGACTAAAAATCAATGGATGGAAAACAATATTCCACACAACAGGAACCCAAACCAAGTGGGAGTAGTAGTAGTTGTCTATTTTTAGACAAAATGGGCATCAAGTCAAAACTGATCAGAAGAGGTGAAGAAGGGCTCCCTATATTGGTTAAGGGAAAAATTATAAACACTGAACAATGGCACATCCAGCTTCATAAAAGAAACACCACTAGACATACAAGATCGGATAAATATCAACACAATTATATTGGGGGACTTCAATACCCCACTATAAAAAATAGATCAACTAGACAAAAAATCAACAAAGGAATATCAGAGTTGAGCCAAAACTTTGAACGAATGGACCTGATAGACATCTACAGAGTGTTCCACCCAACAGTGATGGAATGCACATTCTTTTTAGTAGCACATGGGACTTTCTTCAAAACAGACATATAATAGCCAGTAAAGAAAGCATGCTTAAGTGAGTGCAAAAGAATTAAAATCATACCATGCATATTATCAGATCACAGTGGAGTGAAACTAGAACTCAGTTGCAAAAGAAATCACAGAAATTATGGAAACACATGAAAATCAAACAGTACACTCTTGAATAGTCAGTGATTTACAGAAGACATCCAGGAAAAAATTAGGCAGTTCCTAGAACTAAATGGTAATGTCAGTATAGCATACCAGGATGTAGGGAACACATTGAAATCCGTCCTAAGAGGGAGATTTATAGCTGTGAATGCCTATGTGAGAAAAACAGAGTGAGACAAAGTAAATACCCTAATGATGCACCTCAAGGTCCTGAAAAACAAGAACAACCCAAATCCAAAGCTAGTGCAAGGAAGGAAATTATCAAGATCAGAGGAAATATCAATAAAATGAAGACTAAAACATACAAAGAATCAGGCCTGGTTTTTCAAAGGAATCTACAAATAGATAAACCTTTAGCCAATCTTACCAAACAAGTAAGAAAAAAAAGGATGGCAATTAGAAATTAAAAAGGCGAAATCACAACAGATACTGCCAATATCCAGAAAATTACTAGCAACTGCTTTGCCAACTTGTACTCCAATAAATTGGAGAATTCAGAAGAAATGGATAGGCCAGGGATTTAGCTTAGTGGTACCACCACCTGCCTCACAAGCACCAGGTCCTGAGTTCGATCCCCGGTACCAAAAAAAAAAAAAAAAGACACATCTCCAGAAGAAATGGATAGATCCCTAGATACAGATGAATTACCAAAACTGAATCAAGAAGGCATAAAAACCCTGAATAATCCAATGAAATTGAAAAAACAATATCAAACCTACCAAGTAAGAAAAACCTAGGTCCTATTGGATTCACTGCTTAATTATATAAGAACTTCAGGGAAGATCTAATGCTAATACTTTTCAAACTGTTCAATGAAATTGAAAGGTAAAGAGTACTCCCAAATTTATTCCTGGAAGCTAGTGTTACTGTAATTGTGAAATTCGTAAAGATCCAACAACAACAACAACAACAGCAACAAAAATTAGAACTACCCTCCTATCTCTTTAAATGAACATAGGCTCACAAATCTTCAATAAGATCCTAGCAAACAGAATTCAAGAAATCATCAAAAAGATCTAATCAGGACTAACTAGACTTAAACTCAAGTATTCAAGGATGAGTCAACATACACAAATCAATAAATGCAATGCATCACATGAACAGAAACAAGGACAAAAATCTCATGATCATCTCAATAAATGCAGAAAAAGTATTTGACAAAATCCAGCATCCATTCATGATAAAAAAACTCTGAAGAAAGAAGGAGTATAAGGACCTTATTTCAATTTAATAAAAGTAGTTTATGACAAACCTACTGCCAACACAATATGAAGTGGGAAAAATTGCAAGCTTTCCTCCTAAAATCAAGAACAAGATAAGGATGTCCACTATCAGTACTTCTGTTCAATACAGTCTTTGAAACATTAGCCAGAGTAATCAGGCAAAAGAAAGAAATAAAAGGGATATGTATAGGCAAGGAAGAAGGCAAATTACCATTATTTACAGATGCCATGATCCTCTATATAGAAGACCCAAAAAATTCTACCAAAAGATTCACAGAAAAATAACCCAAATCAACAATGTAGTGGGACACCAATCAACACAAAAAATCAATAGCATTCCTGTACACCAATAAATGAATTGACCGAGAAAGAAACTAGAAAAAAAGACTGTTCTCTATATAATTAATAAAAATATTTAGTAATTAACCTAACCAAGGAAGTGAAAGTACAATGAAAAGTATAGTACTCTGAAAAATAAGGTTGAAGAGGACATCAGAAAATGGAAAGATATCCTCTATTCTTGGATAGGCAGAACCAATTTAGTCAAAAGGGTCATACTTCCAAGAGTGATATACAACTTTAATGCAATCTCAATAACAAACCAACAGCATTTCTCACAGATCTATGGAAAATAATCCTAAAATTCATATGGAACCAGAGAGACCCAAAATAGCAAAAGCAATCCTGGATAACAAGAGCAAAGCAGAGGGATCACAACCCCAGACTTGAAGTTATATTACAGAGCTACAGTGATAAAAACATCAAGGTAGTGGCACACAGACTTGTAGATCCATGGAACAGAATAGAGGAAGCAGAAACAACCCTAGCCACATTCAGCTATTTGATCTTTGACAAAGGAGTCAAAAACATACACTGGAGGAAAAATAGCCTCATTAGTACATGATGTTGTAAAAATTGGCTATATATATGTGGAAGATTGACTCTGGACCCATATATGTACTAATCTAAAATCAAAATAGATCAAAGATCTCAATGTTAAAACAGAAACACTTAATTTGGTGGAAGTTAAGGTGGTAAAACTATTACAGATATAGGCACAGGCAAGGCCTTTCTGAACGGAGCCTAAATGGCACAAGAAATAGTACTAAGAATCAGCAAATGGGATCACATCAAATGCAAAAGCCTCTGTACAGCAAAGGAAACATCCAACAGAGCAAAGAGACAACTTAAAGAATGGGAAAACATTTTTTCCAGCTATTTCTCAGAGGACTAACATCAAGAATATATAAAAAACTCAAAAATAATTAGAACCTTCAAAATAAAAGACCCAATAAAAAAAGGTAACTGAAATAAATAGATACTTCTCAGAAGAAGTACAAATGGCCAATGAATACATGAAAACAGGTTCATCATTGGCCATTAGAGAAATACAAATAGAACAACACTGAGATTCCATCTTACCCCAGAAAGAATAGCTACCATCGGGCTAGGGATTTGGCTCAGTGGTTCTGGCACCTGCCTCGCGAGCCCAAGGTCCCAAGTTCGATCTGCAGTACCAAAAAAAAAAGAGAATAGGTACCATCAAAAAAAAAAAAAATTGCAAGCGCAAGGTCCTGAGTTCAATCCCCAGTACCAAAAAAAAAAAAAAAAAAAAAAAAATCATATAATAACAAATGCTGGCAAGGCCACAGGGAAAAAGGAACACTTATACATTATTGGTGGGAATGTAAACTAGTACAACTACTATGGAAATCAGTATAGAGATTCCTCTAAAACTAAAACTAGAAATTCCATTTCCTTCTACCTTTCCAAAAGACTTAAGGATGTCATATTACAGTTATATATGTATACCCATGTTTATAGTAGCACATTTTGTACTAGCTAAACCTTGGATACTGCCTCTATGCCCATAAACAAGTGAGTGATAAAGAAAATATGGTATATATACACAGTTGTGTACTATGCCATAAAGAAGGATAAACTTGAGTCATTTGTAGGAAAATGGATTCACCTTGAGACCATGATGTCACGCAAAATAAATTAGATGCAAAGCTTAAATGTCTCATAGTTTCTCTTATATTAGAAACTCAAAATACAAATAAAGAGCAAAACAAAAGCGATAATAGGAAGTAGGGAGATCTTTTCCAAGTGAGAAAGGAATCAAGAAATGAAGGATAGGAGGAGGGAGGTGAGGGAAAGGGGATGAAAAAAGAGAGTTGAGATCTGTAGGTACATGAACTAACTCTCCCAAACAAGTGTAACCCTTATGTAATGCAAACATGCACTAATAAAAAATAAAAAAGGAAAGACATACCATTCAGAACCTTTATTTTCCACCATTACCAGAGTCTCTGCAAATATATGGGCTATAAAGACCTTTGACTTTCTATAGCTACTCTTGAAGGTCAGAATGAAAATGCCTAGCCCCGCAGATCCCCCTTTCCTCCAGCAGAGTCGGGGTTCACTCTCATCCTGCTCCCCTTTTATGTACCCATCCAGACTCACCTGGTCTTACTGGGACATTGGATGTAGGTGGTCAGAGCAGGAGCCATGATGACCATGTAGGAGACAAGAAGGAGTCAATGTCAGTCTTTTTTTTTTTTTTTTTTTTTCCAGTTCTAGGGATTGAACTCAGGACCTTGCACTTGCCAGGCAGATTCAGCAGCACTGAGCTAAATCCCTAGCCCAATGTCAGTCTTCTTAAAGTCCAACTACAGTCATTATGCAAACCTTGGATTTTCCTCCTTTTTTCCTGGAGTCTCTGATACATGCCCATTGTAATTTGAATTAAGAGAAAAAGAAATAAGTAGAATGGGAATGGCCTAAGCATGGAAATGATGGCTTTTGCATCTTTGTATCAGTGAAAGGTGACACAGTGGTTCTATTCAATATACGTGTTGAATAGAATTGAAGCTCATGTGCACACACACAGGTCCAACACAAAAAAAATTTTTTGGGTATGCCTGAAATCAATCCAATAATCACAATCTCTACTCCTTTTGTACTAAAACATTGTTTTTTTTTTTTTTGGTACTGGGGATCAAGCTTGGGTCCTTGTGCTTTCGAGGCAGGCGGCGGAACCACGGAGCTAAATCCCCAGCCCCTTAAAACAGTGGTAAAAACTTAAGCTGACTGTGATTTCTGCCTTTCACCTTCTGCAATCCACAGAGGGACTTTAGTGTAATCAGATTCCCTGGAGCCCTGTGATTTGAGATAGAAGGTGTGCTTGATCCTGGTTATTGGCAGCAACACCACCCTGACTGCCTAGACCTCTTTCTTCATGTTTCCTCCTGGTTGGTCCATCTTAGTTTGCCTTACCTCCAAGATGTCCACTTTCACATAATTCTCTTCTGAGCTCATCAGGGAATATGCCACCTGAAAGTGTGTGGAGAAGCGTGGAAAAGATGAACAGCCAAAGAGAAAAGTAGACCCATTTAGGCTTCATGGTGTTGCTGACAGCAGATAGGAGAGTGCTGGACTGCTCTGGATCATCTTGGGAGTTGAGAACCTTCTCTTATGAGAAGTTGAACTCATACCTAATTTCATTTCCCCAGGGCCCTGTCACGGGCAGCATTCTGGTGCATCCATAACCAGCCAAGGGTGCAGAACAGCCAGTGCTTGGGTACCGAGCCATGTAGCTTGAAAGGCATGGTTGTTAGAGCCCTAAGGATGAACCTTGGCCTCCCTCTCTTCCCTAATCTAGAGATCATGACCATGTAGAGCTCAGGGCATCAGTATCTTTATAATGAGGAGGTGTAAAAAGACCTGCATATGTTCAATGGTCTCTGTTTTTTTTGTTTGCTTTGTTATACTTTAAATTATTATAGGCATATGTGAAAAATTTTTTCCATAGACAGCAAACACATACCCATTGCTTACAGGCAAATTTGGAATTGAAAAAGAATTTTGAGCATAATCCAAGAACACAGGAGGAATCTGAGCATCTGAGGCTAGCATGAATTTTTGACAATCATTGTTTACATATCTTTATCTGCAGATAGTAGTGTATTAAAAGTATTTTGCTGGAATAGAATTGTTTGGAATGTCTTCTCACGAGGCAGATTGCACTCCAATACAGTGTACATAACACTGTTTCATGATAAGGGAGAAGAAAAACTCCAGTGATTCCATGGAGGGGTATTAGGTAGGCTGGACATGTCCCTATGATGTCAGACTCCAGAACAAAGTTGTTAGAGATGAAAAAAGTAATATTTATACCTCTAGGAGTAATTAACATGCAATATAATGGCATGCTGAAGGCATATATCAAGAGAGGAATCTAAGACATTTATATAGATATCTTCTAAGTGATTAATATAGTTTTGAATCAAAAGACCTGGCAATACCTATTGCTATGAAAAGATATTTTCAAAGCTGAAATGCATGTAATATCATATAGATTAACTAATAAATGAACACTTGATGTAAATGTTTTTGTTCCAGATTTTTTTTTTGTACCGGGGATTGAACTTGGGACCTTGTGTTGAAAGGCAGGTGGCGGAACCACTGAGCTAAATTCCTGGCCTGATTTGATGTAAATTTTGATGAATCAGAAACTCTAACTTTGAACTGTCATTGAGCAAAATGTTGTATCCCCCTCCCAAAAAGCCTGAAGTCCAATCTACTGATCAGTAAACCTCTATTATGACTTTTTTTTTTGGTATTGGGGATTGAATTTAGGACCTTGTGCTTGCCAGGTGTCGTGCTGTTGAGCTACATCCCAGGCCCACTCTATTATGGCATTTTTAATATTTTTTATGTAAGATATTTTTACAAAGATCTCAAAATTGGTCTGAGTTTTCTTACATATAAATTTCTGACGCTATACACCATTATTTTTATGGTGCTGGGGATTTAATTCATTGTCTCAGGTATGGAGGCAAAGGGTCTACCAGCTGAGTTACACCCCCAGCCTCCCTCCCTCCCTTCCTTCCTTTTCTTTTCTGTCTCTGTCTGTCTGTCTGTCTCTCTCTCTCTTCTCTCTGAGCTGAGGTCTCATTATGTTGCCCAGATTGGTCTCAAATTTCTGGACTGAAGCAAAACATCCTGCCTCAACCTCTTGAGTAGCTAGGACTACTGGTGTGTACCACTGCACCCAGCTTTATTTTTTCATATTGGTATAATATCTTTAATTTTACTTCTTGGCTTCCATAGCCTAAACATTTATCTGTTGTCCCTTTTAAGCAGAATGTTGCTGACGTCTTTGGATATTTGCTTTTGTACTCAGCATTATGTTATCCATGTTACTGTGTGTAGCTCTGATTGATTTATTTTCATTGCTACATCATTATTCTTTGGGTGAATACACAAAACTTTCTTCATTCATACTCTTATGGATGGAAATTTCTCTTTTTGTCTTGATTGATTTGCCAATGGTTTATGTCTTTTGTTAATCTTCTCCAAATATCAACTTTTAGTTTTGTTTATCTGCTGTATTTTGTTTTCTTTAAAAATTCTCATTGTAGCCAGGGAATTCAGCTCAGTGATTCCGCTGTCTGCCTGCCAAGCCCAAGGTCCTGAGTTCAATCCCCGGTACTGCAGGAAAAAAAAAAGTATAAAACTTCTCATTGTTGAGATTCCTCAGGTAGCACATCTAGTTACAGGGTCTGGGTGGCTTACAATGCCTCTGCTGTTGGTCTGAGCTGGGATATGTTGTGATTTAGAAGTGAGGGGTTGGACCTTGTCTGTAAGAGGGACAGGGTTGGTATGCAAAAGGCAATTACAGGTACTAGGACAGACATTTCTACTTCAGTTCAGGTTCAGTTGGGATGCCTGAGAAAGTTTGGAGTTTAAATGGTCAAACTGAGAGTCCTACAGCTGGGTAGATCTTGTCTCTGCTGAATCTGACAGTATTATATTTTGAAGGCTTAGAATTTAAGGTTTGGATGATCATTCTTTTGATAGCTGAAATGCAATTATTGGACTGAAGTTCAGGGTTCCTCTTCCAGAAGGACTGACAGTAACCAAGTCAAGTTTTAATGACTGCAGTCCTTAAAAATGTCTAAATAATTACTTATAAATAGGGACCAGATCAGAAGGTCAGTTAAACAAATTAGGGGTCATGGCTTGGGGGATGTGAATTAGAAAACCTGATGAAGAAAAGTTTGAGTTAAGGGACAGTCTGTGTAAGGGTGAAGTTCTCTGCTAGGGTTAATTTTAAGGTCAAAAGGGAGCATGGGTTTTGTACTTTGGTCCTTTAAGCAGCTCAGCTTGATAGGATAGGTGATACAAACAAAAGCAGATTTGGCTAGCTGCACCTGGAACGGTTTCAGTGTTATATGCATGTATAAGGAATGGCCCAGGATTGAGCGAGGACCTGCTGGATAGAACCCGCTGACATTCTCTGGATAAGGTAGAGGGGAGGGAAATTCAGAGAAGGAGGAGGGCGACACAAAGGCTCTTCATTTTAATGGTCATTTTTCAGGAAAGACAAAATTAGGGTCTGGAAAATAGTGCACAGAAGTTTCAAGGATTATGGTAATTTTACAGTGATCTGAAATCAGTCTGAGTTTTCTTACATCTTTACTGAAGATGGTACATCAAAGAAGCCTCACGAAGTCACATCCTTTCATGTTTCCCTGTTTAAGCAAAAGGTGGGGGGAGATCTATGCCATAGGTTTTGAAAAGTCTCCCTGGATTAATGTAGGTCACTTTTTCCTTATGGTAAGCCTAGAGGATGCCTTTTATTTCAATGTTCCTTCTATTCCATTGCTTTATCTCTCACTCTTTCATTCATTCATTCATTCATTTATTTATTTTTTGGTACCGGGGATCAAACTCGGGACCTTGCACTTTTGAGGCAGGCAGTGGAACCACTGAGCTAAATCCCCGGCCCTCTTTCATTCATTTAAAACTTAGTTATTGCTTACCATGTGCCAGGATCTGCAAAGATTCGTTAGAAATATAAAGTGAGCAGATCAATATTTATGTTGAGTTACTCCCGAGGCCATGCTGTCTTACTCTCCTGGAAACCAGCCCTACCTCAGCCCTGGAGGCTCCACTGACTTTATACTTCCAATGACTTGAAAAGAGTTAAGTCTAGGTTGGGAACTTCGTCGTATAAAACACTGTGTTGTTGTGGAGATTTTGAAGGTCTAGGAGTGCAACAATTTGTTTTGTGTGATCTTAACACATGTGAGATGATCATGACTGGAGTGACTGTCAGGTCTGGTTAAAAACTTTGCTCATTTAATATGAACTAGAGCTGATTAATTAGTTTTACTGGGCTTGGTTTCCTCAGTTGTCACATGAACAAACAATAAACATCTACTTAAGAGTGATTTAAAATTGTATCCATATACAATATGTTAATTACTTTGTTCAATGCCTGGCACATGGTAAGAGCTCAATAGATGGTGGCTACTATTTTCTCTCCGGATGTTTGATTTACTGACTGCAAAATGAGCAAATGATTCTGCGTTCCAACCCACCTGTTAAACTTTGTAATTAGAACAACCCGCTTCCTATTTCAAATCAGGGTTGATCCCTGACCATTTTCCTCTATCCTGGGATCTCAAAGTTTTTCCTTTTCATCCCCTGAAAGAATAAGGATAGGATTGGATTTCTTACTTTGATTTGTATTCTGGAATACAGGCCACTTCACATTCTATTTTAAGATTGAAGTTGTTAAGGTTGCCATTACAGCCACTGAAGAAAAAACCTTCGCAAAATTTGGAGGTTTTGTTGTAGAAAAATCTGAAGTGTATATCAAAGCAGCTTCCAATATCCATGTCCATAATACAGGGATCTGCATGAGAGGTTCCCATTGAATTAGGAGGAGATGATTAGGATGCAGTACAGGTTTATCCTTACATGCCTTTAAGAATTCCCCACTATAACTTGGAAAAATCCTCACATTCAGGGTTACTGAAAGATGTCTGACTTTCTCTTGGAGTTAGAGTCACTTGGCAAGGTTCTCTTGTGTGGTGTAATTCCTTACAACTCCAGATTGGGCAATGACTGTAGAAGTACTGAACTGTGAAAAAAGAGGTTCTACCTCTGGCTTGTGCAAAAAAATGAGGCTTCCTAGATTTCACACTTAACAGTATTAAAGTACATTATAGTCCTACATTTCCGTACTCCAATCTTCCTATTTTTTAAACTGCCCACTTAGAACATACACCGCAGAATACTTGCTCCCCAGTTTTCATAACCTAGTATACTATCTATACCTCAAAATTCAGTTAATTGTGCTTGCTGCTGCTGTTCTGAAAGGAGAATGGATACCAAAATGCCTAATCATGGGAGTGATACTCTTTCTCCTTCATATCCTGTCATCTTTTCCCTTCTTGCCTCTGCTTTTTGTTAAGTGTTGGGTAAATGTTAGTGGTTGAAATAGCTACAGTCATGACGATATTGGCAAGCCAGTGATGTTTGCCCTCCACCCCCAAAAAGCCAGGTTGGAATTTATTTTCTGGTAAAACTATGCATTTAGGTATATTTACATGACAATCTTATCCTATACTAACAAATACGCTCTGAAGTAGGTGCTTTTCTGATCTTCATTTCACACATCAGAAAAATGAGGCTAAAAGATGATAATTGGTTCAATGACTGGTCCAAGGCACACATCTGCTAAATGGCAGGGGCAGAATTTGAAATCTGACTCAATGTGCAGACTGTGCTACCTCCTCGTGCTTTGAGCCTACACACAGAATCTATAGATGACTCATTGCCTTTCATATTTGCATTGGAAGCTCTCCCAGACACCATGTGTTGAAGTGTTCTGTATATTCCCAGAGCCCACATGTTGAAAATGCCTCAATTTTTGCCGTCTGAAACCCTTTCTGTCTTATTCCAATACTTACTTTTTAAAGGTCTGACCGGAGCCAGGCGTGGTGGTACATACATGCTTGAAATCCTAACGCTCTGGGAGGCTGAGACAGGAGGATCACAAATTTGAGCCCAGCATGTACAAGGTATCAAGACCCTGTTTCAAAAATAAAAAATGGAAAATGGGCTGGGGGTGGAGGCAGTGAAAAGGCTCTGGGTTTAGTCCCTAGTACTAAAAAAAAAAAAAAAAATCTAACCTCTTCTTAGTGTTTTAATCACAAAACCTATAATTAAAAATATTTCTAGCTTTTTGAATCTCCTTACAAAAGAGCTCTATATCTCTAAAAAATTATTTGTATCATATCTGCTTTTTTCCCTTTTCATCAAACATCCACAGTACTAGGCAGTGCCTTGAGTCAAAGGACTAAGGGTCTTTGGGAATTGCTACAGAAGAGGATGTTCCTGGCTCATCTAGAGGGCATAGTCTTTTCATCACCTTTTTACTCATTCAAAATTGATCTTTGGATCTGTTTTCTTCTTTTAACTACATACCTTTTAGTTCTCCGCAGATCCATTGCAAAAGTTTAGCAACACCACCCAATAACGGGGTAGTTTGTAAGCAGAAAATGAAGAGCCCTAGAAGAAATTCCAGCTTAGCAGGCTTCATAGTGCAGCACATAGCAGGTAGAAGAGTCTCGGTATCGACTGATGTTATATTTGGGTCTTAATACTTGAGAGGGCTGAGCCCACTAATCCTTGCCCTCAGGATTAAATATTACTAGGTGCTGAGTTGAACACTGAGTGCTTGGGTACCCAGCCATGAAAGTGAAGGTCTCAAACTGATTGGACCCTTGATAGTGAGTCCCATGCTCATGTAGAAACCATAGAAACTTAAGGATCAGAACTTCTGCATATGTTTAACCATGAAAGTTGAACCATCAGAGCAAGGGATTGAGAAAATGTTGCTTCCTTTTTATTTTTTGATCTTCTAAAGCAGAGAAAAAAAATGAACTTGGTGTACGAGAATGTAGTAAGTACAACAGTAATAGTAAAAGGGTTAGCCAATCACTAAAGTACTTCCTTCAACACACTACTTTAAATAATTTATATAGGCTCAATCATTTAATCATTACACAGAACTCATGACATATGTGGATTTATCATTATTGACAGCTGAGGAAATTGAGACGGAGGTATTTATTTTTTTCAGCTATTCAACACATTTCTTTTTTTTATTCAACACATTTCTTGAAATTGTACTATGTTACAGAAACTTTTCTGATTAGTTGTGTAAGTGATGTTTGTACTAGACTGCTTTTAATTCTTTTTATCATTAATTAAGTGTATTAGTACACTTTAGATATACATAATGATCACATTCATTGTATGGAATTTGTATCTGTACATGACATATTCTGATTCTTATTTTTTCCCCATTCCCCTCCCCTCCCTTTTACTGCTCTTCCCCCTCTTATTTATAAGAGCTTTGTTTCCATTTTATCTTTCTTTTCTGTTTTTCTTTCTTTTCCCATCCTTCCTTTCCCTCCCCTCCCTGCCTTGCTCCCCTTCCCATTTGAACTTTTTTCCCCCCTATTTCACAATATTCATTGTAAATTTTGGTCCTTATTTACACTTTCAGTTTCTCACATCAGCAAAATAATGTGACATTTACACATGCGTGTCCGATTTATTCATTTAAGAGTATGGCCTCTAGGTGCATCCATTTAGCTATAAATATCTCAAGTTTATCCTTCTTTATGGCTAATACTCCATTGTATAAAAAAAACTTATTTATCCATTCATTGGTTTATGGGCATTTGAGTTGTCTCCAAGATTTAGCTATTACACATTGTGCTGTTATGAACATGAGTGTGCATATATCACTGTGATATAATGCTTTAAATTCTTTTGGGAAGATATCCAGAAGGGGGATAGATGGGTCAAATGGAACTTCTAGTCCTAAATTTGTTTTTTAAAAAAATTTAATTTTATTGGTACATTTTAGGTATGTAATATAATGACATTCATCACTGGAAATTTGCACCTTTACATAATCTCTATTGGTTCTTATTTTTTCCCCCTTCCCCTGCCTTCCCTTTGACCCCTCCATCCCTCCCTATTTACAAAGACTTTGTTTCCATTTTTTCATTTTCTTATATTAATTCCATTCCCTTCTTTTCTTTCCCCTACCCGTTCAACTTCCCATTCCCCTTTGCCCTTTTTCTTCCTATTTCACATTATCTATTATACCTTTTAGTCCTTTTTTACACTTTCACTTTCTCACACTAGAGAAATAGGACATGTGTGTCCTATTTATTTCACTTAAAGAGTATCACCTCAATGTGCATCCATTTAGCTATAAATGTTTCTAGTTTCTCATTTTTTATGGCTGAGTAGTACTCCATTTTAGAAAAACCCCACATTTTCTTTATCCAGTGTCCAGTTGATGGACATTTGGGCTGTTTCCAAGTTTTAGCTATTACAAACTGTGCTGCTACGAACATGGGCACACATATATCACTGTGGTATGATTCTTTTAATTCTTTGGGGAAGACACCGAACAGCAGAATAGCTGGGTCAAATGGGACTTCCAATCCTAGTTCTTTGTGGTATCTCCATACTGATTTCCACAATGGTTGTACCAGTCTACACTCCTGCCAGCAGTGGAGAAGGGTTCCTCTTTCCCCACAGCCCCGCCAGCATTTGTTACTGGTTGATTTCATGATAGCAGCCATTCTTTCTGGGGTGAGGTGGAATCTCAGCGTTGTTT